TTCCGGCGGGTGCCTTACCTCCCTTGAGCTGGGCCAGCTGGTGGTCGGCCTGCTCCGTCTCTGCCGCTTGCCAGCTACGCCTCGGCCGGCGCAGGGGGCGGAACCACGCATGCGTGGCGCTCCCGGGCAGGGAAAGTCCTCGACTTACGACCGGTTGGGTAGTCCTCGACTTACGACCGGTTTAGTCCTCGACTTACGATCGGTTTAGTCCTCGACTTACGACCGGTTGGGGTCGCGGCATTAAAAAGGTTGAGAACCACTGCTCTAAGTGGTAATCTTTATTGAATATGGAGCTAGCAGGCTTAATATAAGCAATAGACATCTAAGTTATTCCCACAGTTTAAAAATCTTTTGCATTAGGAAATGCTAAGGCAGCTTAAAAGCATCCAGACTTTCAAAGACTTCCCAGTTTTTGAAGTTTTATATTTGGTTTCCATGAAAAACTGAATAGGCACGACTGTCTACTCATTCACTGAATTTTAAATTCATTCTGCAGATGTATTCACACTGATATCTAAAATATGAGTGCTTATTAAGGAACAGCACAAAATGATACAATACACTAAAGGTTTTATTTTGGGAGAGGCTTCTTTAAGCATGGCAAAACTCCTGCAGAAAATAGTTATTTTTGAAGTTTTGCTCCAAGAAAAATAACCCAGCTATTTGGAAGTTCTATGTAGTCAAAAATAGATATTTCTCATCATAAGAAAGGATTTAAAAGACTCCTGGATGCATGTTTTGCTTGCACTCACACTGCTTCATGGTTTCATTTTCACTCTGCAGACATTTTAAAGATCAGGTGCTTTTTGGAAAAATACCTTGGGACAGTTGTTTAGATTTATTTTTTTTAGATTTTTACCCCACCTTTTTTTCATATTCAACTCAAGGCGATGAACATACCTAATACTCTTATCTACTCCTATTTTTCCCACTCAACCAGTTCTCATTTTTAAGGCAAGATTAGAATTTACCATCTCCTGGTTTCTAGGCCAGCACCTTAAAAACTATACCAAACCAGCTCTCAGCTTCTAAATTATTTTTAATAGATTTGCAGAAGTTTCTGGTTCACAATTGCCTAACAATTCTTCTCCAGTTTAACTACTGAAAAAGTATTGCTGGAAAAAAAGACCAGAAAGAGATCTCTGTATAAAAGAGTTTGCAAGTTAAGGTTCTTATACCGATAACAAAATCCTAGGCTGAATACATGTTAACAGACATTGTTGATGCATGTTGGGTCACTAGCTATTATATTGCCTCTGACCCAGTTGATGGACTTCAGGCTATTTGTGATAAAAAATAACAAGCACCAAATAAATTCCTACAGCCAACCCACTGATAATGTCTGAAATAAATCAAAGTCATAATTGCACGTAGTTTCTTAAGCAGTGAATGTGGAAAGCATCAAAACTCCCATTTGTTAGTGGCAAGCCAAGATGTAATTTCTTAAATATCAGCACAGCGACAAGGCTCCAACTCTTCAGAATAGCAAGCCAGGATGGAAATAAAATGTTGTCTGCCCAATAATACATTAGTGAATATTACAAAGCAATAAGAAATTAGAAATTCAGCCCAACAGTGTTTCTGCTGAATTGCTTTGCGTATACATTTGCATTTTTCTGGATGCTGGAACGTTGTTTATTATATGTTGATCAGCATCCTCAAGAAAGTAATATTAGCTGTATGGATTTATTTAGATAGATAAGGCAAATATGTAATGAGCAATGAAAAGTATTAATTGCATGCTGACCTGTTAGCCCTCAAAATTGCAAGACTGTCTTCCTTAATAATTGAGTATTTCTGTTCTGCATCTATTCTGCTTTGGGGCTTTTCCACTGTCGCATACTGATAATGCCACCAGCTCACGGAAAAGAATGTCTCACTATAAATTTAGTTTGCCTTGGCAAAAGGCATGTCTTGCTGGCAAGGCTAGTGACAGCCAAGAAGAGCAGATGGCTTGTACGAAGTATTCAACAAGCCTGAAGGCTGAATTGCCAAAGTCATATTGTGGGGGCTCCGTTGAAATCCAAGTAATCAGAACTTTCTAAGAAGTTGAATGACTGATTGTGTATCAGGAAACCCAGCTTTTAAACAAGGATGCAGCAGACCCCACCATTCAAATTCTATTTTTCCATCTGTACAGATAGTCTTCAACTTACGACTGATCTCAAAATTGCTAAGCAAGATGGCCATAAACGGTCTTAACTCACTTTTTTTCAGCGCCCTTGTAACTTTGAATGGCCACTAAATGAACTGTTGTAACTCAAGGACTACCTGTATTTTATTTTCAAACATTTTTATCCCAGCTATGCATTGATAACACCGACAGCCAAATATTTTGAGCCTGTAAAAGTGTGCGGCTTTTCAAGTTCTCTCTCACCCGCTTTCCTTCTTCTACCTAGATGTATTTAATTTCCAAACTTACGACCTTCCCCAAATGCACAATCATTTTGAGTTGAGAATTGCACCACAAAATTGGAGTGGGGACTGTGCAAACTCCAAAGGATAATGGGGTCCTGATTTGCGTGGGTTTCTGAGTAGGCTGCTTCCGGAGGCAGCTGTGGCTTTATCAAGAAAAAGTGAGTGGATCTTGTCTAAGGATTGGATAAGATGTTTTTTTGCTCCTTATAAGTTATCAAATAGGCACTAGCCTCTTTTTGTGTCTCAGCTCATGCTATAAGCCTCAACATCAAACAGGAAATAAGGCAAATCCTACAGAAAAAAGGATGAGGATGATGATGGTCATACCCATCTTTGATTTCGTTTAAGAAGTCCTTAGCGCTGAAACATGATCTGTCATGGGCCGTGTATACGAAGTGTTTTTTGCAATTCTCTTTCCCATCCTTTTCTTCTTTCTCTCTGTAGGATATGTTGCAAAATTCTCCCAACTCCATGACAGCCATACCTGGCAACCCCCAAGGAATTGTGGTACCTGCCTCAGCACTGCAGCAAGGGAATATCTCCATGGCAACAGTCAACTCACAAGTTGTGTCAGGTGGGAGGCGTGGAGCATACGTCCGTCACCATGTTAGTTGCGTCTTTTGCATGCTTGGTATTTTTAACCCCCTTCCATAACCAGATTTGAACTATGCATAGTCTAGACAGAAATTGGAAATTGGTTAATGTGCACACATCTTCCTGTACCCTCATCTTCTCAATGAGGTTGTTCAGGGCTGGGACTTAATCTCCAAAAAGGTGGTTTGGGAGTGAAAATATTGCCTTCAGATATGCCTGCAAAGTGCTCCTATGAGTCCTGAATCACATTTTAGGGACGGGGTCTATTGCACTGCAAAGTCCCACATGTGCATAATTTCTCAGAATTTCTTCTCCAGAATTTCTCTCAATNACCATAAGTCTGGGGGTCCCCACCGCCACCCCGGCTATCACGTCGGCCAGCTCAGGCAGGGCTGTTGATACATAGCAGGGAGCCAGGTATATAATCAACAAGCCCACTTGCACCCCTTGCCCCCACTTCACAAAGAGCGACTCCACGCCGTCTATCTGAGGCACAGTGGTCTCCCTTGGACAAAGGCTCTCCCTTATAAGTCACGGAGAGCTTCATGCACAATTCCTTTTCTCCAGGGAAGAAGGCCTCCCAACAGCACAAGGAACTCTTTTTCTATCAGGGCAGCCTTTTTCAACCAGGGTTCCCTGTATACTGTTGGACCACATTTAATGCAGCATGTCTCCTTCTGAGATATGACGGAGCTCAAAATACAACAGCATCCGGTCATTAGGAAAGATTGCAGCAGTGGAAAACTTTGACCCCTCCAGATGCTTTGAACCTCAATTGTCATCCGTCTCATGAGCAAGGGAACTAGTAAGAGATGCTGAAAATTGCCATATAGCATCTTCCTCATGGTTGAAGGAACCAGTCCTCTATTACAATAAGAGAATAACCAAAGAATTGGAGGTCATCTAGTCCAACCCCCTGCTCAGGCAGGAAACCCTAGACCATTTTAGACAAACAGTTGTCCAATCTCTTATTAAAAACCTCCAACTTCTGAAGTCATTCCACTGATTAATTATTCTAAGTGTCTCAGGACATTTCTTAGTTCTAGGTTGGTTCTCTTCTAGTGGTAGATGGGTTTTCTTTCTCTTGGAGAAATGGATCTTAGATTATAATTCAAAGATAATTCATCCCTTGAATAACAAAGTTATTGTCTCGCAGATGTAAATACAGTAGCTGTACTAGCTAACCTCTAAGTCAGTGGTTCTCAACCTGTGGGTCGGGACCCCATTTGGGGTCGATCGACCATTTCATGGGGGTCGCCAAGCAAGGCTGTCCGCCATTTTTTTCCCCTTTTCCGGCGGGTGCCTTACCTCCCTTGAGCTGGGCCAGCTGGTGGTCGGCCTGCTCCGTCTCTGCCGCTTGCCAGCTACGCCTCGGCCGGCGCAGGGGGCGGAACCACGCATGCGTGGCGCTCCCGGGCAGGGAAAGTCCTCGACTTACGACCGGTTGG